TGTGAACTGAATGTATCTGGAGAGGAGGAAAGGTCTTAAAAAAATTAATCCTTAAACTCACTAAAGTGGTTATATAGTTTATTCTCCACATCTCTAGAATTAAAAAAGCTGTAAAATAAATCCTTTTCTTTTTTGTTTTGCATTCTTTCCACCAAGGTCAAATTCACCTTGCCTTTATTAATATAAAAAAGGTATCTTAAAAGTCTTTGCAGTAAACTGATATATTTCAGCATCTCCAGAATTTGGGGAAATTTTGTGGAAAGTAATGTGAATTATAAGTTATTAATGATCAATCTGATGAAGAAAGTGTTATATAATGGGTAAACAAATGTATGTTGAGGCACAGAAGATTTTAGATGATAAAGCTGCAGCATGAAGATCAAATTAGAAAGAAATGATCTGGTTTCCATAGCCCATATGTCTGCTGAAAGCCGAAAGAATGTCATTTCTTGGGGCTTGCCTGAGGTTTGTTGGTTTGAAAACAGGAGAGAGTTGTTATTTAAAACATTTCTGATACATTAGATGCAATCTACCCAAGATATGAAGTGTATGACAGAAAACAATACCAGAAAATAATATAACATTAATGGTAGGAAGTTTACAAGTTAATTTACCAACATTGGGAGAACAGCAAGAAGTAAGATTAGAAATTCCCTCCACTCTCTCCAGTGTGTCAGTATTTTTCTGGTATCAAGAGTCCCGATCAACAAAGGGGCCTAAGCCCCAGACTGGGTGCCTAAGTCCCATTTTTGGTCTTCAGTGAGATTCATAAAATGTACATCAAACACTGTAGGCACTTAAACTCTCTCAGTACCTAACTTGTCATGGAAAAAGCTCCCTCTGTGCCTAAGTTTCTGCCTCTGAGTGTGACATTGCTGCTTTACGCTAGGTGTCCAGTTACCTATCTCCCTCCTAGCCCCAGAACAATCCAAAAACTGGGGGAGGCTAGGTGGATGAACATCTGAGGCCACCTACCAGATGGGGTCTCATTCAAAATTTGCACAGAGGTCTACCACCTTTAGGAGAGTGCTCTAATCACTGAGCTCTGGGAAATTCTGATGTCAGGCTCCCTTAGTCTCTCCTCTTGAAGCTGTTCCACCATGGATAAATAACAAAAGAGTGATTGGAGCAGGGGGACTGGAACCTGAATCTCCCAACTCCCAGCTCGCTCTCGTTCAGTGACTATTTAAATATTTATCCACAGGGGGAAAGTCATAGGACCAAGGAGAGAGAAAGAATAACTCTGTAGCCTGGTGAGTAGGGCACTCATGGAGGGGACCCCAGGTCCAGTCCCCCTTCTCCAATCAGTCTTTAATTATTTATCTACAGTGGAAAAGCTACAACAGGAGAAATTGAGGGACCTCCACATCAGAAGATCCCATAGCCCAGTGGTTTGAGCACATTTCAAAAAGAGAGAAGATTCCTGTTTAAATCCTTTCTCCCCTGTCAGCAGAGTGGGGACTTGAACATAGGGCTCTATATCCCAGGTGAGTGCTCTAACCCCTAGACTAAAAGTTATACAGTGAGCACCACCTCCTCTGGCTGTTTTGTGTGGAGCAAGGCAGACACCTCACTCATTCCTGTGAAAAATAGCTTCGACACCTAAGCCTCCTGACTCCAGGAGATGGGCTTCCATCCCTAGCAGGCTAGCTTTTGTGGATCACATTCTTAGGTACCTATCTCTCCCCATTCACTGCATAGGGAGCCTACACACCAACCTTAGGCTTTGTGGATCACAGTGTTCGTTGTTCCTGTAATTTTCTGAGCACGTAAAAATTAGGTGCTGAAATGTTCAGCATTGCAATGACTAAGTCCTTTTGTGGACCTGACCCAAGGCACTCAGAACTTTATATAATATTCCAGCAGAGGTATATAGAGAGCAAATTGTCTCGTGAACTCATGCCTGTGCATTTGCAGCCAATAACTGCCCAACAATTTGAAGGATGGAAATGCCACTAAACTTATTCACAGGACTCAAGAAGAGAAAATAGGATTCACAAAAGATCTATGGCTTGTCTAAATCAAAGGATGGAAACTGTCTAATGTTCATCTTATGGAGAATGTGGGATGAATGTGATTGCAGATAAAAATACCAGTTAAAGTAATAGACTGATTTTAATGAAAATCGTGCACAAAATTGGGGGAACAAATTTGAAACGAGCATCAAAGACCAGCTTGTCTGGGTGAAAATGTAAAAATGAGGTTTTGGACATGAGGGCCCGTAGCTTGCTAGCACATACTGTAGATGTGAGAATTATTAGAAAAACATAATTATGATCTATAATCTATAATCTACAAGTGGTTCCCAAACTTGTTCCGCCGCTTGTGCAGGGAAAGCCCCTGCCAGGCCGGGCCGGTTTGTTTACCTGCCGCGTCCGCAGGTTCAGCTGATCGCGGCTCCCAGTGGCTGCGGTTCGCTGCTCCAGGCCAATGGGGGCTGCTGGAAACGGCAGCCAGCACAACCCTCGGCCCACGCTGCTTCCCGCAGCCCCCATTGGCCTGGAGCAGCGAATCGCAGCCACTAGGAGCAACGATCAGCTGAACCTGCGGATGTGGCAGGTAAACAAATCGGCCCGGCCCGCCAGAGGCTTTAAGTTTGGGAACCACTGATCTAGGAAATACACACTGATAGGCTCTAAATGGAGGACTCATGAATCCCAGAATTAGAGATAAATGTTCTATGCCATTTGAAAGTTAGGATTCCAATCTTTCAGATGTGGTAGAGCATAGATTCTAGTTATGAGCTCTTCAGAGTGGTGATTATACAGTTCTTTGTGTTTCTACAGAGCCCAAATCCTGACTGGAGACTTTGTGAATTAAAAGCAATAATAATAATAATTAACGAACAGTTCTCTATACACTGATCACTAAAATCAGATTAGAATACAAGTTTGTTGACGGTTCATATGAACATAAGAACGACTATACTGGATCAGACCAAAGGTCCATCTTGTCCAGTATCCTGTCTTCCAACAGTGGCCAATGCCAGGTTCCCCAGAGGGAATGAACAGAACAGGCAATCATCAAGTGATCCATCCTGTCGCCCATTCCCAGCTTCTGACGCCATCCCTGCCCATCCTGGCTAATAGCCATTGATGGACCCATCCTCCATGAATTTATCTAGTTCTTTTTTTAACCCTGTTATAGTCTTGGCATTCACAACATACTCTGGCAAGGGGTTTCACGAGTTGACTGTGCATTGTCTGAAAAAATACTTCCTTTTGTTTGTTTTAAACCTGCTGCCTATTAATTTCATTTGGTGAGCCCTAGTTTTTGTGTTATGAGAAGGAGTAAATAACACTTCCTTATTTACTTTCGCCACACCAGTCATGATTTTATAGACCTCAATCATATCCCTCCTTAGTCGTCTCTTTTCCAAGTTGAAAAGTCCCAGCCTTATTAATTTCTCCACATATGGCAGCTGTTCCATACCCCTAATCATTTTTGTTCATATCCTTGTTTTATGTTATAGCCCTGTTTTTTACACTTCATGTTTTGTGTCTTTAAGGCCTAATTCAGGCAAAGATTTATGCATGTGTTTAACTTTATGCACTATGAATAATCTTATTGAAGTTAATTTGATTAAGCACATGCATAAAGTTAAGCACCCGGGTATGACGTTTATTATTTAATAGGCTAACATTAAATAATAAAAGTGTTTTTATTATTACATGATAATAGGTCAATGCTGGGAGGGGCTTTGCTCTTAATTATTGTTATTTGTTAGTTCAACTGAGACCTCTAGAAGGGGAAAATGTTATTTCTCAAATATATTCTATAGAGTACAATGCTTCTCATTATATTTAAGGTAGACTTGTTTGTTTGTTTTTCTTCTAAATTTTGATATATATAATGAATTCCAGAGGCTGGGTGAGATCAGTTTCTAGAGGGTTTTTCATGCATTTTGTAGTTATTATTAGGAACGTATATGCAATTAAAAAGAAAGAGAAAGAAAGACTGTTGCAAACACCTTGAATTGTACCCAAAAGCAAACAAAAAACCAATCCAGAGCTTTGAGCACAGATGTTATGTGCTCATAACGGCACATCCCACTTAGAAATTGAGCAGCATTACCAGAAGCTTTGAGGTTTATTTATTCAATTTAATGGAAGCAATCAGTTATAACAATTACTGTAGGAAAGGTTCGCTTCAAACACAGGGTGTGATATTGCAATCTTTACTCATGGCAGAAGTCCCACACATTTTAATAGAATTACTTCTGTAAAGACTGTTAGTGAAAGTAAAGGTTGATGGATCAACCCCTATTTGTCATCCTCATGCTAAAGGGCTAGTCACTAGAAAATGAATGTTTATTTTCAAGGTAATATTTTCTAATACTGTGTGAAAGGTTTTTGATGATTATTTTTGGAAGTTCTTTTAAAAATGCTGTATTTTTTTTGTTTTCAGAGTTATGTAATGATGTTCAGCTGTTTTCTCCTACTTCTTTGTATAGGTTTTCCTTTAACTAAAATACAATCTTATAATAATAATTAATAGTAATATGTTGCATTTCTACAGCATCTTTCAGTTGAGGATTTAAGGACTGTCTCCTCTGAAAGAAAAAACTTTCACCATATGATGTGACATTTATGTCATAATTTCACTAGTGACACAAGGTGAGGACTTTTTGACACAGTGTCATGGCATGACATGATAACATTTTAATGCAGTACAACATAATTATGTTTGGACATAACTCCATGATAGGTTGGAATTTGATTCAATATGATTTGATTATGGAAAACAATATAACAACACACACAGCAACACAAAATTGGCACATTTTAACCTGAGGTATCACAATATGCTGAGAGACCACCCATTACCTCCAGATGACATTTCCTCAAGGCCTCAAAGCTATTTCCATGACCAATTAATCCCAGTTAAAATCATGCCAACCCTACATACTTTCTGGCAGGCACCGCTCCCGCCCTCCAACATGCTTCATGGGCACATGAGACTAAACAAATTAAAAGCCTCTTTAGTGGCAGCAAACATACCACAGTGTTTCTCATCATGGCTTTAACAGTGAATCCATCGGTGACCTGCTGCTTGGTTCTCCTCAGCTGCCCCAGTGGCTGCTGTTGTTGTGGAGGTCTCTCTCCAGTGGGTTTCGGGGGGCTCGAACCATCTTTCTCTGCCACCATCTCACCAGGCACCTTTGTGGGGGACAGGAAATAAATATATAGGCGAAAATAATATATTGGGAAAAAAACAAATCCTCCCCACTGTCCTGCTGCCCTTCCTCACCCCCCCTGCCGCTGCTGCCCTTCCTCACCTCCTGCCTCCCTTCCTCTTCCTCACTCCCTGCTCTGGCTGCCCTTCCTCACCCCCTGCTGTTGCCTATGGAGGCTCCCGTGTGGGGTCTGGCTGGGGGGGCGGGACACTGACTCACTTTGTCGCTAACACCAACACGCTTCCAGGGACGCCTCTCGGTTGCTAGGCAACGTGTCAACAACCTGCCCGGCTTCTGTTTGCGGTCACGTGACAAAGGGGGGGAAATTGCGCCGATCACGTGGAACAGCTCGGGCTAGAGCAGGAAAGCGCGCACGCACGAAAGAACTACACTACCCAGAGTACTAAGCGATCGGCAGGCTGGCTCCAAGTGTGCGCATGCGCACTATGACAGCAATCCTGCCGACTCGCCCTGCAGTTGCGTATTCAGTCAGAGTGCTGAAGGCGAGAATTTGAGCTGCGAGGGCGAACGGGAACGGGTGCGTGCGCGCGCTCCCTCCCCTCCCCCCCACCGTGGCCATGATAGGTGAGTGAGTGAGACCCGGATGCAGCGGCCCCCTCCCCTTTTCCGGCCTCCCCCCAGGCTCTGGGCCCTGCTCTGCCGGCGCAGGAGTGAGCAGCCTGTCGTGTCTCTCCTCAGCCTGGTCCCCCGGGTCCGCTCCCACCGCGCACACGCTGTGGTTCGTGGCCGCCGGCTCCACCCCGCCGCCCGCTTTCAGGCCGTCCGCCACAAGCTTGTTCGTCAGCAGTGGTGTGGTTCTTCTTCGCCCCCGCCAAAGGGCCGCCCCGCCACCAGGCCAGTCCCGAGAACACCGAGTGTGACCTTCTGCCCAGCCATCGACATAGAAAATACCGTGCGCTCCCCCAGCACAGCGTTCCCGCACTGTGCACACAGCCACCCCTCTCCAGAGCATACCCACATAAGATACCCACTTCGTGTGCCCACCCTCATTGTATGCCCGCCCCCCAGCAGTACACATCCCCTGGCTCCACACAACACGTACATACCGTATGCACATCCCAACATAATACAACCAGCCCGTGTGCACGCTCCCACACCATACACCCACAGTACACACATACTGTATGCACCCAGAGTACATACACCTCTCCCCCCTCCCGCCCATGTAGTATGTGCACACACCCACACACAGTACATATTGGTGAATTGAGATCTTGCAAGTCTGGATTCCTTATTTCGCCAGCACCATCAATGTGGATGATGCTTTACAGGCAAATGATATAGTACAAGGGACTGGACTCTGCACTCCTCCTTTGCAGAGTTAGCTACACAGAAGAGAATGGTAGGTTTTTTACACCCACTTTGCACTGGCATTGGTTACCCCAAAAGAGTGAGACATTAAAAACTACAAAAAGAAAAGGAGGACTTGTGGCACCTTAGAGACTAACAAATTTATTTGAGCATACGCTTTCGTGAGCTACAGCATCCGTGAAGTGAGCTGTAGCTCACAAAAGCTTATGCTCAAATAAATTTGTTAGTCTCTAAGGTGCCACAAGTCCCCCTTTTCTTTTTGCGGATATAGACTAACACGGCTGCTACTCTGAAACCTGGCATTAAAAACTGATTGTTTTCCTTTTTTTCCCTCCACAAAACACTTGCCTATTTCAATGAAGTGTATCCCTTGTGTCCATTCACCCTGTGGTCTGCATATAAATCTTGTTGTATGCAGTAGGTCCCAGGATATTAGAGAGACAATGTGAGTGAAGTAATATCTTCTATTGGAGCTTTGTGTAAGCTCAGAAGCTTGTTTATCTCACCAACAGAAGTTGGTCTAATAAAAGATATTACCTCACCCATCTTGTCTCTATAAATCTTGATGGCAGCTGTGAATAAGTCATGGTTCATCTTGATCTTTCTTCACTGCCTTCATGCTGGTTGTGAGTTGCTGTCTTGTGCAGTCCTGCTGTGCCATTATCCCTTCAGGCAGCAGGCGTGGAGTGGAGCAATCAACCCGCATTCTGGCCTCACAGACAGTGGTGGGGGTCAGGAGAGCACCGGGTAAGATGACCAGGGTAGTCCCAAAGTTGGCAACATGTAGTCCTCTGATAATATTACAACACATGACTTTGTCCAACTAGCCAAAATTTCCCTGTAGTATTTGGGAAGAAGAGGCAATTAATCCCCAATATCCCGGTTCCCTCATTGTGGGTCCCACAAATCACAATAGCCACCATGTGATCCCCTCAAAAACTGTAAAATTTCCTTTTTACATGCTCCCTCTCTTTCACTTTCATTTTTGTTATTTGGTTAATTATAGATAAAACAAGAAGAGCATAGAATTGAGGTGTTAGATAAAGTTATTTATGCTTAAAGGAATTCTTCCCATCCCCCTGATTTTAAACACCTGTTTTTCCCTGTCTCTCATATTGGGTGTTTGTCTCCTATTTGAGATCTAATCAAGATTAAATGTATGCAATTTTATGGTTGATGTATAGATGAGACATTCATCCTCTAAAAGTTTTGTCACTGAATTTCTTTGGAAATTGTTGCATAATCTCCATTATTTTTACAGTTAGAAATTCTCTTTCCTTTCTCATTAATGTATGGCTTTCCAAAATGTTAGTGCACTGTTATTCTCTTTAAACCGTTTAAAGGCAAAAGAAAGTTAAGTGTAATTTTGCAACTCTGTGATTTTTTTTTTATTCTGTGTGAATATTATATGCAACATCTACTGCAGTCGGTGCCTAGTTGCGTATATCTGTTTCTTTTTTTCTCTAATGCAGTAGAAAGCATTTATGAGACAGCTTGATTTAATGAAAAAAGTGTTTTCATATCCAAATATTTATATATCTTGATGAATTCTACAGAGGTCAGATCACATTATGTGCTTACAGAACTGCAACTCTTGTTCTTTTTAAAAATTCCTCTAATTTCTTTAGCAAGTTATTATAATATAGTTTAAAAAGGCATATGTGACTTAAAATTTGGAAGGTAAGAAAGGCTTGAATGTCGTTTGCTTCTTATTGTGTGGCCAGTAGACCTTGCTTGAAGACCACGTCGAAAGACCATTAACTGAGCCGTAGCCTTCCTGTTAGGAATAAATCTGCACAAGTCTTTGATTTTGTTTGCATATGACCTAATGCAAATTACAGTACCTTGTTGACCTGAGTTTGTAGGAAATGACCTACTAAGACAAAAACTCTTTTGATCAACTTTAAACTGATCATTTATAAACTGATCAATAAAGTCTCAAAGCAGTTGACAGATGCTAAGTATATATGTGTGTATTTTAAATATATAATGTTTTTTCAAGCCTGACAAAAATACAGGAATCATATATTCTTACAGTATAGTGTTCTTGTGGATGATTTAGTTAGGAATAGTAATGACTACAGATCCAGCAATTTGATCTGTGTGGTTGGTCCGTGCACTCGTACAGAGAGCCCCACTGACTTCAGTGAAAATTTGTGTGGGCATAAGGGTGTGGCCCACCTGGATCAGATTGCAAGTCCATGGGACCATGCACAGTATATAAAGTTAAGCATGTGTATAAGTGCTGGCAGCAATGAGGCTGTATTTGTCTTTTCACTATAGCAAATAGTGAATGCATAAAAAGTTTAAAAATATATTTTGATTAGTGGAAAATTATTGGTACTACAATATATTAATTACTTAGAGCCTTGAGTGATTTATGGGATGGCAACAAATTTTTATTTGAGACAAAAAGTAGAAAAAAAACAAAATCCAAAAGATTAGATGTATATAAAACACTGCCATTCTGTATCACATCCAAGGTCCATCTACTTCAATATCCTGTTTCTGACAGTAGCCTCTAGATGCTTCAACAGGAGGGTAAGAACCCTACAGTAGGGAGATGAGGGTAATCTGCTTGCAAAGGTCTCATTCTGGTTTCTAATAGTTAAGATTGGTTTAAAACCTGAAACATAAAGTTGACTGTCCCTTCCAAAATCTGTTGTAATTAATTATGATAACTGGATATTCCTGATATTCATATAAATATCAGGTTTCAGACTAACAGCCGTGTTAGTCTGTATTCGCAAAAAGAAAAGGAGTACTTGTGGCACCTTAGAGACTAAGTGAGCTGTAGCTCACGAAAGCTTATGCTCAAATAAATTGGTTAGTCTCTAAGGTGCCACAAGTACTCCTTTTCTTTTTGCATATAAATATCCAGTCTCTTTTAGAATCTTATAAAGTTCTAGGCCTCAATGACTTATTTATTTCCTTTTATCAATTTTTAATTTCCCACCGTTTAGCTTAATTGAATGTTCCCTTGTTTGTGTGTTATGAGACAGGGAGAACAGAAGTATACCATTTGTTATTTTATCATGTACTTCTTATGGTCTGCTTTCTATAATAAACAATCCTAAACTTTTCAATCTCTTCATATGAGAGATTTTCCAGACCCTTGATTATTCTCAGTGCTCTCCCCTATAGTTTTGCAGTATCCTTTGTGAGATGGGTTGGTAGTGCATGCAGTATTCCAGATAAGGCTGTGCCACTGAGTGAAGTAAAAGCATGATAATGTTCTTTGTATTATTCACCATCTCATTCCATATGCATCCTAAGACTTCTTAGCTTTTTTGGCTGCAGCTGGACAATGTGGATGGGTTTTCATTGGACTATCTACAGTGACACTGCAGTCCCATTCTTCAGCTGATACAGTTAATTTAGAACCTGTAAGGTGTATGAGTAAGGTAGTTAATTAAAAATCCTATAATGTGTATTAGGTAACTTTTCAGAAATAACAACAGCAGTTTGGTTGGAAATGGGTTACCATGTAGTCCAAGACTTCAATGCTGACATTGAATCTGAATTGTATTAAAAAGCATAACTTTATATGTAAAAAGAAAAGGAGTACTTCTGGCACCTTAGAGACTAACCAATGTATTTGAAATAAATTGGTTAGTCTCGAAGATGCCACAAGTACTCCTTTTCTTTTTGCGAATACAGACTAACACGGCTGTTACTCTGTAACTTTATATGTGTTCATTATTTCAGTAGAGAGGTTACACTCCTAAGCCTTCAAAATATGGAAATATATTGATATTTATTTGTGTGACATCTTTATTTGGAACATCATACCAACAAATTAGTTATGTAAGTGTCAACAGACTTCTGATAGACTATCTATGGAGAAACTGATAGACTAACAGGGTTTTGTCCTACAAGCTTTACTGTTATGGATCTTCATTGAAGTCACGAGTGTTTCCTGAATTCTAGTTCTTAGATACATCTTTGAAAGTATTCAGCAAGGTGAATACCAAAGACAATATTTGTTGCCTAAACTCTTGAAGGAACTGTGTGTCTCCTGAGGTTTTCCCCTTTTAAGTGAAGTTGCAATACTCTGACTCCAGAATTGCCCATTTCATTTATTAATAGTTTTTAAAACTTTGTAGCCTATTTATATATAATTTCAGTTTGTTAATTGGCTATGCAGTTAATGATTTCAGGGAACTATTTAAAAGGGAAAAGAATTTAAGCATTTACAGATATTTAGAGAATGGGTCATTTGATTTGGTATTTCCCATTTAATCAAAAGAATA